CAGAGGCAGGACATAATTATCTTCCTGTTATTCCACATGTCACCCCGGCATTATTCTTCCCCTCCTGAGAAATGCCCAGTGCAAATTCCAAAAGATGGAACACAAGCAAGATGAGAATAAGAACATAAAATATGTGATGAAATTCTTTCAACATATGTCATCAGAAAGGCCAGAAGGGCCTTCTCACTTCTATCTCACACCCTTGTAAGCCAGAAGCCATCAGCATCGTTGAAGTCTTTTGGTTCCCTGAGCCGTGAGTCTGTAACTGCCTTCCTCTATGCAGTGGGCATAGCAGTCTTAGTTGAAGGAGCACCTGAGCCAAATCAGCAGCCTGTTGAGGGAGTGTTCATAGCAAAGTAGATGCTGTAGATGGGTGAGGGAAGATTTGCACCAGGATGGAAACGCTTCCCTTGGAACTGTGCTCTGCCAGTTCTACTGGTATGTCTTCTACTTCTTTATTGGGTGTGTGAAGTAGAAACAAAGAAATGCCTGGTGTCTGATCCTGTTCCTGTTCTGCATGAATCGTACCTGCCAGGAGATGTCCTTATTGGTGGGATGGTTTCCCTGGTCAATTACTATTTCCCAGAATTTTCATTCAGGGAGCATCCTTGGCAGGAGTTCTCACTGTGGATGAGGTAAGGAATGCTTCATTTTTGTCTACCTTCCCAAATCAGGTTGGGTTAATTATATGTCTTAGTGCAGCCAATGGAACTGGTTGTTCACTGAACCCGAATTTTTCTTTCATATCAAATGTATTGGTAAAGGAAACAGATGTACATAGAGGAATCGAGCCTCTTTGTTTTCCATGGACAAGTTCAGGCTGGATGAAGACTGGGTGTGAAAGTGCCTTAAAAAAGAGGGAATGTTTAAGAAGGGGATGTGGTTGCATTTTGAGCTAAATGCAAACCACTTACAAATAGGAAATAGTCCACAGTCCACTTTCTAGGAAGGGAAGATCCGTAGGACTATTACTTAAACATACCCTCTCAGAACCTTTCTCTCTGCCTACTTCAGGTCTGATTCCAATATTCTACCCTGTGTGGCTCTGAATTCTTGTTTGAAGAAGAAACATGAGAAAGGTCAAATATTCTAATGTACACTATATCAGAAACACAAAATCTAAAATACTTTATTGTGTAAAATTCAGGAAGATCTCAGCCAATCCCACCCAGGACAAGGGGCTGCTGCCTGTTGTTGACTTCCTGGGTTTAATGAAAAGTGTGCCCCTTCTGCTTGTGAATGTTCAGAACCTGCCGCTGCAGGCTGGCATGCTACGAGCATGGAAGATGCCCCCACATCCAAGTGATGATTGTGTACACTCACTTATCAGCAGCTTTGGAGCAGAACACCTGATGGAATGCCCACTCCTGTGTGTTCCCACCGGACCACTATCTTCAACTGCGGGGAATCTTTCCATGAAGAACCAGGGTCAGAGAAGTTTATAGTGGTATAATTATACAGTTGGATAAGTTAGTACTGATATAATAGTATGCCCTAGATATAACTCTGGGACATTCTGTTCCACAGATACATTAATTCATTTATGATTCTAAAAAATTCAAATTGAGGATTTGGGAGTAATGTTGCTTGTTGTTGCTAGTTGTGTCTGAACCATCATGACCCAATGGACAACATTCCACCAGGACTTCCTGTCCTCCACCATCCCCTAGATTCCACTCAAGCTCACACCGACTGCTTCAGTGACTCCATCTAACCACCTCTTTCTTTGCAGTTCCCTTCTTTTTTGCTGTCCATTGTTCCCAGCATTAGGCTCTTCTCCAGGGAGTCCTTCCTTCTCATTAGTTGGTCATTGTATTTGAGTTTCATCCTCAGTATCTGGCCTTCTAAAGAGCAGTCAGGGTTGATCTCCTCTAGGACTGGCCGCTTTGATCACCTTGCAGTCCAAGTGACTTGGAAGAGTCTTCTTCAGCACCACAACTCAAGGGTCTCAGTTCTTCGGTGCTCTGACTTCCTTATGGTCCAACTTTCACAGCCTTAATATTCATTGGTTTCATTGCAGTTGGGAAAACCATAGCCTTGACTATATGCTCTTTTGTTGCCATACTAAAATCTAGACTCTGCTTTTCAGTATGAGTATGAGTAGAATCATCTCTTGGGTTGTTGGAAAAGAGTGTTTGCTATGACCATTGTATTCTCTTGACAAGCTTCTACCAGCCTGTTCCCTGCTTCATTTTGTACTCCAAGGCTCAACATGCCTTTTATTCCTGTTATCTTTTGGCTTCCTACTTTATCATTCCAATCCCCCATGATGCTAATAGAATAGAATAGCGTTAATTCCATTAGGTGTTGTAGGCCTTCATAGAACCAGTCAACTTCAGCCTCTTCAGCATCAGTGGTTGGGGCATAGATTTGGACTGCTGTGAAGTTGAATGCTTTGCCTTGGATTCGAACTGAGATCATTCTGCCATTTTGGAGATTGTACCCCAGTGCTGCTTTTCCTACTCCTCCATTGACTATGAAGGCTACTCCATTTCTTCTGAGGGATTCTTGTCTGCAGTGGTATACCTGATGGTCATCTGAAATAAATTCACCCATTCCTGTCCATTTAAGTTCACTGATTCCTGAGATGTCGATGTTCAGTCTTGGCATCTCTTGTTTGACCACATCAAGCTTGCCTTGATTCTTAGAGCTTACATTCTAGGTTCCTATGGAGTATAGATCATTACTGCATCGGCCTCTCCTTTCACCCCCAGTTACATCCACAACTGATTGTCCTCTTGGCTTTGATGCAATCGCTTCATTCTTTGTGGTGCTACGTCATAGCTTCATTGAGCTGCAGAAGCCACTTAGCCATGACAAGGCAGTGATCCATGAAGGGGTTTGGAGGAATAACAGAAAGTGAACTAAGAACAAATATGCATCAGGACAAAATAAGCAAAAGCTTGGCCATTGTCTGGCTAAAAAAAGCCTGACCATGTAAAAAACAGCTTCAGAATAAAGTCCCACATGCTAATGCTGGCCTGTCCATTGGGGGTACCCTCGTAGATATGCTGGTTGTTTACCTGTCCTGAACATTCATTTGCAGTGTAGTGGCTGAAGGTGAAAGTGTGGTGAGAGGTCAAGGGCATGGCCCTGGCACTCAGGCAAGCTGGGTTCCAGGCCCCTCGTGGCCATGGGGCCAACTGGGTGCCTCTGGACCACTCACAGACTTAAAGCCCACCGTACCTCACAGGGTTCTTTTTGTGGGGATAAGATTGAGAGCAACAGAGATGGATTGGATAAGACACTCTGATTTCATACGAAAAAATGCAGATATAATTAATAAGTAAATTGGATTGTGCCGAGTTACTCCCCTTTGTCTTATTCTCCCTAGCATCTAGCAAACTGCCTACCTGATCCCCCACCCCTCTCCAAACTGGATGTATCTGATATCTTATAAACATTCTTGCACAGAATCCAAACGCTGTGTATATTTCTTGCACATCTGAAGAAATGCTCCTTGTCCATTTGATTGGGCAACCCAGCCAACTCTAATGGGTGGGGGTTTTTTTAAACTCTGGACAAATGTGTTCAGAAATTCTTGTAGGTATGCTGATTTGTTCCCTGTGTAAATTCTCTCAACCATCATAAGCGTTGTTGGGCTTATAGGAAAGGAGTTATATGTGATATTGCAGGCATTAGTTACAAATCAAAAGAACATAGATCAGAATGAAGCAGTATTGGAAAANGTGGAGTTTTTTTAAACTCTGGACAAATGTTTTCAGAAATTCTTGTAGGTATGCTGTTTCGTTCCCTGTGTAAATTCTCCCAACCATCATAAGCGTTGTTGGGCTTATAGGAAAGGCGTTATATGTGATATTGCAGGCATTAGTTACAAATCAAAAGAACATAGATCAGAATGAAGCAGTATTGTAAAAAATCTCTATATACAATTATTGAAAGAAGAAAAACAACACTTGGCTATCTGCACTTGCAGTATGATGACCAAGTTCTACCAGCATAACTTGTCCTTGGATTTTGCTGTCAAGGAGATCAACCAGAATCCAGAGATCTTACCAAATGTCACCCTTGGTTTCCTGGTCCATGACAGCCACAGGGATGCTCAGATGACTTTCCGCACGACCATGAATCTCCTCTTCAAATCCCACCGATTTGTCTGCAACTATGAATGTGGCACCACACGGAAGCTAATAGCAGTCATTGGGGCACTAGCCTTCGATACCTCACTCCATGTGGCAGAAATCCTCAGTCCATATAAAATCCCACAGGTAGGATTCTGATGCAGGATATCTCCAAGTTTTTCCTCGACTGTGTGTCATTTCATTTGGCTTCCTGTAATGACCCTGATTTTTGAAGTCTGAAAAGCAGAAGAAACAAAATTGATGTTTCTGGACCACCTGAAATGTAGAGGGAGTGAAGGGAAGGAGGGAGGGAGGCAGGAAGATGTCCTTTCAAAAACAAACAGCTTTAAAGTGGCAACCTGAACAATTACATCAAAACCCCAAATAAGAATATCAGAGTTATGCAAAGTGCCTTATCTGTCTGTCTGTCTATCTATCTAATCTATCTATCTATCTACCTATCCATCCATCCATCCATCCATGTATTTCTACACTATAAGATAAATCTCTCTAGGCAGGTTATTACAATTAATCCGAAAACAAAACAGTACAATAGAAATGGAAATGCACTAAAATATTGTGTAAGATTCTGACCATAAAGGATGCAATAGAAAAATATAAAATACCTTAACATCCAATAAATTTGCAGCACATGGATTCCTAATTAACTTAGATGCCATAGCCCCTCATTTGTTAATAAATGCCTGGGAATAGAACTTTATCAATATTTTGTAAAACAATTGATATTGCTTCATGTCTTACCAATTCAGATGTTTCTAACACCCAGAGTAACTGATAGAGAAAGTATATCTTTGTACATTTTCGCCTTCATCTTAATTATCTTCTGAATGCTTTCAGCTCACATATGGGTCCTTTGCATCAAGCAAGGAGATGCTGGCCCTTCCTCCCTTTTACCGGATGGTCCCAGCTGAAGACCACCAATATCTGGGAATTATCAGCCTGCTTAAGCACTTTGGATGGACCTGGGTCGGTCTCTTTGTGATGGAGAACGATCAGGGAAAGCTTTTCCTGCAGGCCATGGAAACACTGCTTTCTACACATGGAATC